AACTATTATTAAACTTTCAAGCCATAATTAATGGCTAAATTATGCTATTACTGAACATAGCAAATTAAGTTTGAATAATCTTAAATCTTAACAGCTGATTTTTAAAATGACTTCACTATGATTTGCTCTAAGCCTAAACTTCACTACATATTTTGACAACTAAAAGGTTAGGTTTAGAGTTTACATCTCCCCCAGAGCCTTAAGGTAAAAAAAAGGCAGTTCAGAGTCCTGCTAGCGTTACTATTTCACGATGCTAATTTACATTATTTTTCCAACCATAAAGTAAAACTATTTGTCTACTTTACCAATGAAGACTGAGCTCAGGGTTTCAAAAACTTTTTTTTTAAGTTTCAACTATTCAAATACTACCCTTGGCTTTTTAATAGTCAACATGACACTTTCAGGGAGAAATTTTTTTAGGTGTTTTTAAGAAAATTTGCCTACCATCTTGCAGCTAACTGAGTTTGCTGCAGTTAAACATACAGTTCTGTAACTAGGTATCTTTCTTAGTTCTAATTAAAAGTACTCATTATTTTCCCCAGGACATAGACTGACCTCTGTGTTCTATTTACTCTGTCACATCTTCTATCTCCAACTGCTTTTCGTCTGCCACCATATTCAATGGATCCCCCAGAGTTTTTCTGCCCAAATCACCGCGGCACGGAGGGCCATCCTTCTTCCCCAGGGCGCCCACCCTCTGAGCGGCAGGAAGCTTTTTTTTTGGAGATCTGAGGGCATACTTCATCTCCTCTCTCCACTCAGCCTCTATCAGCTAGCCAAACAGGCAGGGGTGACCCTTCCCTCAGACAGGGACATACTTTGTTTTTGGATTTTTTTGAACCGAAGTATAACTGACATAACATTATATTAGAGAAATACTTTGTGATCACAATTCCAACTGCTTACGGGGTTTTTCGTGCTTTTCTTGTAGGGGGTGGTGGGAGTTGTGCGAGTTTTTTGCAGGTTCGTCAACGTTAAAGGGCAATATTACAAACTTTCCATTTTTAAAGGGAAATCATTTGGGTTACACTTGATATAGCAAGAAACCAAAAAGCAGAATAGCCTTATTCTTTATGAAACTGATCTTTTTAAAAACATCTAATCTTTATTATGGTAACAATGTACAGTGTATATACTCATAGTCTTCTACTAGGCAAGTGTTTGGGAGAAGAGGCAGGATCAAATTATTATAACAAGAAACAGTTTAACTCATCTCCTTTAATTGATACATTTCTGAAGTAGCTTTAATCAGGAGCATTCATTTCTGAAACAAGACACGTGATAAAAAAAGAATCAAACCACTTATAGCAATTAATAACATCTGCAAGGCAAGTTCAATTAATGTTGGAACACTGGCTAAGTCACATGCTGTGGAATGTTGAAAATCTCTGAAAAAATACCTTTTAAACTGTGGATCATGATACTCAATATAACTTTCACTAAAATCACAGCTACAAGAAACCTTGAATCTTTAAGGACTGAAAAACACTGTGACCAGTTATTCAGAGATGATAAATAACAGAAATGAAACAAACTACCTTTTTAAAATGAGAAGATTAGTAAAACTATGCAAATCTATACACTTTTAAAATCATTGGGTGAGATTTCTTAAATCAAATTATAAGGTCCTTTTATGGTACATTTTACACAAGAAGTTCTCTGTACATGGTAATAGTTACAAGGCATCAGAGTCAGTAAAATAAATCTGAGAAGTAAGACCACTCCATGTAACCAGAGATATTATAGAACACTAATTCAGGAAGTTATTCAGCAGCTTATAAAGAAATAGGAAGTTGTTGACCAACTACATGAAGAACTATTTCCTGTAGGAGAACTGTAAGACAGATGAAGAAGGCAGTAATTCTCAGAGTAACAACAAGAACTCTTTTAAAATAAAAGCTCAGTATACAATCTTGAAGAAA